CCCCAAGCCCCCCAATGTCAACGGTGACAAAAGAGGGACTCTATGGCCCACTACTTCTGTATTTTCGGTCTTCAGAAAGGCAAAGCAGACCCATATTACGGGGTTTCTCCGGCTTTTCTCCCCACGAAATATAACGTTCCCGGAGCAAATCGCGTTACAGTATTTTGCCAGTGTCCCCCTGGCCCTGGCAGTGGAGAGTTGGAGTGCACATGGAAGGACTACGCGGGCCTGGCCTGGAACTCACATGCATACATGATGACGGTGAACGCTCTGGTTCACGACCCATCGCACAGCCGCCGAGTACACTGCTGGAAACGAGGGAGTGGGGCGGCGTCTCGGGAACCGGCCTTGTTACACGGTGACTCTGGGCCGGACCCAGCTTCCCTCGGGCATTTAACTAGCCTGGCACTCTATAAAACTGTCCCCGCTTTCAAGTCTGCCGCTAGGACTCGTTTCATGCCGCGGACGACACCGTACCGGGCCCGCCTGAACAAGTGCCGCATTGAGTGTCCCCCGCCCCCCGCCCTGCCCCGCCCCCGGCCCCGATAGGGCAGGGCAGAGAGACAGGCGGTCCATGCGACAAGTCCACGCCGCAACAGAGTGGTTCAACAAAGTGGTCCACTGGGCCAGGACGTGTCCAGCCACGGACGGGCCGGATAGGGTCAAGGACGGCGTGTCCATGAGGGCGGCTGGCTACCGGGGCAGCCGCTATGTGCCGTACCTCTGAGGGCCTCCCCTGCCCCGCCCCACCTCGCCTCGCCGTGGTGGCACGTACTCGGCGTCGGAGGAGTCGTGACGGGTCGGGGGTCGGGGTGGGCCAGGGGGTTGGCCACGGAGGCTGCGGTTTAAGGCGCAGAGACGGCATTCTGAAATGATCCGGCATGAGTCATCTGGTACGAAGTCACGAAGATGATCCCTGCCCCCGCCGCCCCTGCCTCGACTCGGCCCGACTGCCGTTTGTCGGCTTGTTTGCTTTGTTTGCCGGAAGCTCGATGAGAAGAAGCGCCCCGATGAAGCTGTTGTTCCTATTCCCACCCGTCCGCCCGCCCGGCGTTGCACGGTCTGCACAGCACTCACCTTGCCCTTCCTCATCCTGCACCTCTTCTTCCTCTTCCTCCCATAGTCCTCGGCGGTCCAGCTTGAAGCTCAGGTTGACGGCCTCGTCGTTGCGCGCGTCCCGGTTGAGGGACGCCTTCACACCCGGGTACACCTCGACGTCCATGGCGTAGCTCCGCGACACTCTGTCCAGCTCCACGATCATGTCGTGGTACGCCCCGAGGTTGTCGTCGTCGTCGCCGTCCTGGCCCATGGCGCGGGACGCCTCCTCGTCCCGGTGCGCCTGGCGGGCGGGCGCCACGTCCGGCGCGCCCTCGACGCGGTGCAGCACGACGGCGCCGTCCCACAGGTTCACGTCCTTGCCGTCCCGGACGGCGCGCAGCCCGCGCAGGACGGGGGCCTTGGCGCAGCCCATCACCTTGCCCAGGAAGGCGTCCCTCTGCTCCTCGTCGGCGTTGAGCAGCGCGGCCCGCGACGACCTCCCCCGCACCGCGGACAGGCAGTCCAGGAAGCCGAAGGACGAGCCAGCCCGCGCCGTGGCATTGTTGTCGGCGGCCAGGGCGGCGGAGAGCACCGCGAGCAGGAGCACGAGGACGGCGGGGACGCGGAAGGGTGGCATGGCGGAACGGGCGCGAGCGCTAGAGCGAGCGCTAGAGCGGGCGCGAGGCAGGCACTGGCGAGCTGTCCTGGCGGTGCCGTGCCGTCCCTACCCCGGTCTGGGCGGAACTGACGCGCGGTGCGCGGTGCGGTGTGCGGTGGGGCCACGGCGGCCCAAAGCTGCGGCCGCCGCCGGGGGGAGGATGGAGTGCGAGAGGAGGGGGGCTGGCCGGGGCTTGCCGCCTGCTGGACCTGGGCACACTCGCCTTGCTCGCACGCACGCAGACGAGGCGTGTCCGGGCGGCGGGTGCGTGGTCCGGCGCCAGCACGGCACGCCTGGCCACGCCCGTGCCGAACGAGAAGCTTCTCCCTTTCTTTGCGCCAATTTTCTCTCCAGCAGTGCCCATTCTACACATCGCAGGGGGTGGCTTTATGACCGTCCAGCGTGCCAGGCGATGTCCTGTGTGTGTGTGTGGGGGGGGGGGGGGGGCTCAGAAACAGGCACTCGTTGCCTGCCTACCTCGAGAAGGTTTAATCTGCAGGATGGAAACTGTCACGGACTTACCCGCTCGGCTCGGCGCAAGGTCGGGGTGGGCGCTCGCTCGCTACCCCTGTGGGGAGGGGAGGTTGAGAAGGACCTCGTGGGAACGCACTCACACGTGACGTACGCTGGCTCGAGGAGGTCGTCCAGACAAGAGGCCAGAACAGAACACGCCTACCTGCAGCACACCAACCGGGCCAGACGGGCGGCAGGGCGAGGCGTGCCCGACCGGATCTGGAGCGTACTTCCAGATTCCAGCCGCCTAGTCCATTTGCCTCCGTCCATACATTTTATAGAAGTCTTAAAAGCTTTAGATTCATCCTTTAACGAAAGCTAACATTGACTAAAGGCAACGACGATGATGTTGGAAGGTTGCCCAGTTGGTTAATCACGACATCTAAAAACGTAATAGTTTATTTGCGTGCAACGCCTCACCGCCTCGCGGGTGCGATCGAGACGTGTCAGCTGGACATGATGGCCGGGGCGGGCAGGAGAGGCGCGCCGCCGGGCGCACCCGGCTCCGCTTAGGCTGGACCAGGTTCACTTTCGACTCAACCTGAATCCCCCCGAATCTCCCGTCTGCCTGTCGCAGACACCACACTGCATCGTTCTGGCCGTTCTGACGGCTCTGACTTGGCACGGCACGGCAGGGCGCGGGAGCTGCTTGCCGTATAGCCCGGCAGCGAAGAGAAAGGAAAAGCGAGGGGGAGGAGGGAGGGGGCTAGGGGGGAAGGTGCGGGAGTGGGGGAGGATATATCAGGGAGAGTGAAAAGAAAGCGATTGCGCTTTTGGCAGACTCGGCGAGGCTTTAGCGCATCCCGTGTCAATTAGGTCGTTGATGATGATACGGAGAGCGCGTTTGCGTGTGTGTGGCCAGGAGGGGGGGGGGGGTAAGGGGGCCGGGCACAGGAGCGCGCAAAGCGCGATGACTCGAGCGCACGAAGCCTTTTGATTCGCAGCAGGTTCTATCGCGCGTGTGTTCGGTTGATTGAGATACAGGTAGTTCGAAAAGAGTTTAACACTGCACTGGGAACAGTACTACTTGTTCTTCTTGTGGATCGTTCAGAAAGTACGCCCTAATTTACTCTCTCGTTTGATGGCAGCAAAAGCGACAAGCTCCAGAAGCTCTACTTCATTCGGTAAATCACGGTGCTCGGCGCCTGCGAGACGCAGGGTAGGCCACCCCGCGGGGCA